GAGAAGGTGCCAGGTGAGGTACCAGGAGAAGGTGCCAGGTGAGGTACCAGGAGAAGGTACCAAGAGAAGGTACCAGTAGAGGTACCAGGAGAAGGTGCCAGGTGAGGTACCAGGTGAAGGGCTCTGAGCTCCGCTGCCCTGATGGTGCCTCCCATGCTGTAAGGCCTCATCCTGGGGAGAAGGTGTCACTGGGGCAGCAGGTGGGCAGCCCCCTGTCCCCGCCCTGGGCGGCTACGTTACTGCGCCCTCTCCTGTCGTCCTGACGGCCACCGCCTGGCCCCGGGCTCAGACCACGTCCGCCTACAGGCCCCTCCCGGGTCTCTGACTGCCCCGAGCGGACAGAACCGCTTCCTGCGGGGCACGGGGCGCCCCAGGGGCAGCCGAGGGGTGCGGACGCGGGCTCGGTACCCCGGCAGGGACGATGCTCTGGGGGCTGCGGGGGTGGGCACCGTGCGGGGCGGGGCCTCAGCGGGTGGGGGCGGGGCCTGCTTCCTGAGCCCCACCCCCGCCCCCCTGCCCGCCTAGGCTTCCTTCCTGGGGGGGCTCTGCTCCTACGGTTCCTACCCCCCTGCCCCGCGCCGGGGTCCCCGTGCCCGCAGCCACCCCCTTCTCGGACCAGTGTCTTCGGGGAGCTTTGGCTCTCCCTGGGCCCCCCTCCGCCTCTCCGGGCTCCCCGCCCTGGGTCAGTCCTCCGCAGAGATCCCGCCAGAGCCTTCGCCAAAGCCTCCGACGGGGCTGCCGCCGGCTCAGCCCTGGTCCCCTGCCCATCCCCCCGGCGAAGCTCCGCAAGGGGAACCACTTTAACTTCTTACTCCAGCACCCCACCTGCCAGCAAGTGTCATCACAGCCGCCAGGCCAGCCAGTGGGATGTGTCATCGCTCGGGACCCCGGCAGGTCACCTCCACAGTGGCCACCTGCATCGTGGCACAACTCGGCCTCGAGGGTCTTTTCCTGCTAGGCTTAGGATGGCCGCTTCCCCAAGCGGGTGACTCGCGGCCCTGGGCCCTGAAGGGGCGGGAGGCTGAGTGGGGCCTGTGGAGCAGGGGCCGCACCCCCCTCCCGGGGCCCCAACCACACCTGGGAAGTCCCACTGTGTTTTGCCTTGGAGGGGAAGAATTTTCCAGAACCGCAGTCTGTCTCCGGGAGGCGGAATCTGCAGGCGCACGTTCCTCACGGTTGGTTCGGGGTCTGTCCGCAGCAGAGCTGTGCTGCGGGGGCTCCCAGCGCCCTCGAGCCCCCTCTGAGCGAGGCCCGGGTCCTTTTGCATCTGTGTTCTCTTACAGAGAGTGACGCGCAGCCACTGTTGTTTTGAGCCCCCGCTGTGTGCCGTGGGCTGGGGGCTCCCCAGTTCAGACGGCCCGACAGCAGGCCTCTGGCTTCCAGCTGCACCCCCAGAGCGCAGAACCGCGTCCGGCCTGGGCTGGGCACTCACTGAACCCTTGTCAGTAGATAACAGGGGCCCAAGAAGGGAAGCGCAGTGCCGGAAGTTGAATGCGCCAACGGAGAAGCAGGCCTGGACCAGGCAGGAGGGGCCGTGCCGCCCCAGCCTGTCACAGCGCGTGCCACCTCACCCCCTGTGACCACTGCTGGCCTACAGGCCAGTCTGGTCAGTCGGGTCCTCACGCTGCGGCCCCCGAGGGCAAAGCTCAAGGGGCCAGCTCCACGGAGGGACGCATCAGGAAGTGACGGAAGGATGGACAGGTGAGCGGGCGGCGGACGGGTGCACAGGAGGTAGTGGAGGGTGTTCCAACAAAGGTCGGCGACCATCCCTGACTCGCCGCACGCCCGCGTGCCCCGGGCTGGCGGTCGGGAGGGATCCACGAAACCGCTGAGGAGGCGGGTGGAGTGTAGCCTGCGGAAGCCGGGGGTGTGGAGGGCCCTTCCCTGGGAGAAGCAAGGTGCCCCCTCCTGACGCTGTGGCCCGGGGTGGACCGAGGAGCCGCGGCCGACGTGCGAGGGAGGCAGATGGCGTCTGGGGGCCAAGCCACTGTTGGCGCACGCCCCCTCTCTTGCTGTGCTCCTGGTAAATGGCAAATAAAACCTGATCTTCCTGTTAACTTACGTTTTCAGTTCCAAACACTTTGTAATTAATAAACAACAGACAGTCACAAATCAAAGAGCTACGGGGTGCCCTCCCCGCGATCGTGATCTCCCAGGGCCGGTCTTCCCTCTCCCTGAACTCGGTTCTGCTCACACCTGACCGCAGCTCTACGCGGCAGGTCCACTCTAGTCCCTGACTCGCCACACTTCAGGCATGGGGACTCCTCAGTGCGAAAGAGGGAGATTTAACTACTTACCCTCCTACCTTTCCTACCTACATGCTTACTTTTATTCCTTTGCCACTTTCTTGGTGACCTAGAATGACACTCTTTCTACCATATAACCCAGCAATTCCACTGCTAGGCATACACCTAAGAGAACTGAAAACATGTCCACTCAGAAAGCTGGATACGAAGGGCATCTGGGGGCTCAGTCGATTAAGCCTCTGACTCTTGATTTTGGCTCAGGTCATGATCTCACGGTTCATGAGTTTAAGCCCAGCGTCGGGCTCTCGGCTGCCATTGCAGAGCCAGCTTCGGATCCTCTGCCCCCCCCCCCCCCCCCCCCCCCCCCCCCCCCCCCCCCCCCCCCCCCCCCCCCCCCCCCCCCCCCGCCCCTCCCCTGCTCGCCTGCTCGCTCTCAAAAATAAATAAACATTAAAAAAGGGACTAAGGGGCGCCTGGGTGGCTCAGTCGGTTGAGCGTCCGACTTTCACTCAGGTCATGATCTCGCGGTTCGTGGGTTCGAGCCCCGTGTCGGGCTCTGTGCTGACAGCTCAGAGCCTGGAGCCTGTTTCAGAGTCTGTGTCTCCCTCTCTCTCTGACCTCCCCTGCTCACGCTGTCTCTCTCTCTCTCTCCTAGAAATAAAAATATTTAAAAAAATTATTTAAAAAAAGGGAGTGATTTCCTTTAAAAAAAATTTATACTTTCACAGTGGGCCCCCTCTCCTTGGGAAGGCAAAGTTACTGGTGGCCTCTCTTCCACTCCAGCACCCCACCTCAGTCAGCTCCAAATGCTGACCCTGACTCACCCGCTTGAACCCGAAGACACGCCCTCACATTGTAGGGGCTGAGGGCGGAAGAGGATCTCGGAGGGACAGGACCCTGTGATCATAACTGTGATGGCTGGTGGGTGTCGAACATTTAACCACGTGCCATGGCGACAGCACTTAGTGCTTTTCGTGCGTCATCTTGTGAAGGCTCAGGATATCCTGAGGTCAGGTACATGTCCCCATTTTACAGATGAGAGAATGGAGGCTTAGAGATATTGTGTGAGCTGAAAAGTGGCAGAGGTAGGATCGGAGCCCAAGCCTCTCTGAGTGTTAAGTCCCAGACTCTTGGCCACGCGGAGAGTGGCCCACACTTGCTTTCTGTTGCCAAATGTGGGGTTTTGTATGCAGCTGCCTACACCCCTTCATTTCACGCGGTCCTTGATCAGTGCAAGAACGTTCCCAAGAAGGTCCCTTGGTGCAGAGGAAGGCAGTAGAGACAGGGCCCCACCCCACTCCTCTTGTCCTTCCTGCCTGGTGCCGGGATGCTTGGACCTGCCTGGGCCTTCATCCTGACCTCAGGTGGGTGCAGGCTGGGCCGTGACCATGACCCGCTGTGTGACAGACAGTGGGATGCCTGTTTGCAGTCCAGGATGCTGGGATTAGACAATATTTAGCTTTCCCCTCCCCTGCAGGGCAGGAACCATCAGCTGGGCAGGGCCGGCTGCTGCCCCCCGCCCCCCTCCCGCTGCCCCCCGCCCCCCCGCCCCCCCTCCCGCCAGAAGCCTCCGCCACTCTGCTTGCAGCAGCACCACTGCAGTTTAATCATTAACGGCACGTCTGGCCTTTGGTTGCAGGTTGGAATGTGGGAGCTGTGCCCAGGAGCAATTATCTCTGACACATTATTTTGTGTGAAATCACTTTAGCTGCCATTAGCTGATAAAGCCGGAATAAAGGAGGGTCCATTAACCAGCGCTGACCTCTTGGCCTCTGGGGCTCCCCGGGAGGGTAACAGAGGGACCTGCCTTTTGGGGGCTGTGAAATAACTTCTTGAAAATTTGCTGTTTGTTTGTTTGTTTGTTTGTTTTATTCATTTTGAGAGAGAGGGCGCGCAGGGGAGGGGCGGAGAGAGAGAGAAGGAGAGAGAGAATCCCAAGCTGGCTCTGTACTGTTAGCACGGAGCCCAGTGTGGGGCCTGATCCCACGAATCCTGAGATCGGGACCAGAGCGGAAACCAGGATTCGGACGCTTGGCTGACTGAGGCCCAAGGCCTCGTGGCTCGTTCTCAGATCCCCTGCAGGCATCGCCCCCTTGTGCGGCGTGATTGGCAGAGAGGGCATCAGCCCTGGGCAGATCCGCCAGAGGCCCGCTCCGGGCTGGGCAGGGGTCCACACAGCAACACCCCCCTCCATCCTCCTAGAAAGGAGAGGCCGCTTCAGAATGCAGGGGTGAGCTCCCCGGCCGGGGGCTTCCTCACTCAGGGTGAGGGCTGTCCTCCGCCAGGCGGCTCTCTGGACGCCCCCAACAGGCACCCAGGCCTCCCATAGCCCCTCCCTCCCCAGCCCCTGTCACCACTGCTGCCCCATCCTGAGGACAGCCCGGCAGTGGTGTGCAGAGGCCAGTAGCCCGCACTGTGTTTCTACTGCTTTCCTCCTGGGGGCTGCTGGCCCGAGGGGTGGCTGATTTAGAGACGCTGGTTTGGGAGGCAGGGTACTGGCTCTCCGGGTCTCCAGCTACCCCCTCCCTCCCTGGCCCTGGGGGTCATGCTCAGGCTGCCCCCTGTCTGTCCCCTCCTCGCCCTGCCTCCCAGTCCTCTCTCTAGTTAGTTGCAGCCAGCTGACTGCCGAGGGTCAACATTGCAGGCACCCCCCAACCATCTGGGCACCCCCGCCTTTCCGTTCTCCCCCTCCCCCCCCCCCCCGCCAGCCTGCCCCCTCCCTGTGCGGCGGGGCCCCCGGGGACAGGCCCATTGCGGGAAAGGGGTGCCCACCGCAGCGCCGGGACCCTAGCCTCCCGTGTCTCCAGAGGAAGGGGCGGGGGTGCGCAGAGGGGCCGCGCCTGCGGTCCCGACCGGCCCTGGCCTCCCGCCTGCCCGCCCGCGGCGTCGGCGGCACCGGAAGGGCTGACCCCAGCTGCAGGATGGGCGCACCCCTGCTCGGCTGGCCCACCGCCCCCCTGCGAGCCTTCCTGGAATCCAGGAAGTTGAGGACGGCTTGGGCCGGAGCCCCCCAGGGGGCCTGCGCCCCGCCTCCGTCTTGTTCCCGCCCTGCCCAAGTTCAGGGGCGCTCCCAGAGAGGGCCAGCAGGGCCTCCCCAGGAACAGACCTCCCCGGCCCGTGCGGGCCTGTGCTCCCCAGCCCACAGCAGCCACCTCCCTGCCCCTCCGCTGGGCTGCCTGGATGAGGCTCCTGTACTAGTCTCTGTTGCTTTGAGGTCAAATCTTAAAGAACTTGGCGCACAGGGGCGCCTGGGGGCTCCATCCGTTAAGCGGCCAGCTTCCACGCGGGTCATGATCTCACGTTCATGAGTTGGAGCCCCGCGTTGAGATCTGTACTGACAGCGCAGAGCCTGCTTGGGATTCTCTCTCCTCCTCTCTCTGTCCCCCCGCCCCCCCCCCATTAAAATAAATAAATAAACTTAAGAAAAAAAAGAGAACTTGGCCCAGAGAAATGGCTGCACAGGTCAGTGGGAAAAAGGACCGTCTGCTGTAAATAGGGTTTCAGGAAGCAAGTTGGTCATTTGGTAGTTTTATTTCAAGCTACATCCCGGACAGATGAAATCGCTCGGCGTGAAAGCACAGGCTCGTGGCGCCTGTGAGGAGGGGTGTTCTCGCCCTGGGCTGGGCATGGCCTCCGGCTCCCGTGGTGGGGGGTCCATGCCAATGGTGCCCACGGCCTCCCGCGGGGCTCCATGCGGGGCCCAGAAGGTGCATCGGCCCAGACAAACAGGCTGTGTTGTGTCCAGTGCCACACTGGGAGGCAGAACATGTTTTCCAGCTGTTTGGGGAGCGGCTTCGGGCCCTGCAGGCAGCGCCGGCTGAATGCTTTGTGTGTGCTCCAAATGGCAGCCGTGGGCCCCGGGGCAGGAGGGAGCAGCCGGGAAGCCGCAGGCCCAGGCCGGGGTGGGGTCAGGCCGGGGTGGGGTCCCTGGAACCCTGCGCACACTCACGTGCAGGCCTGTAAGGGCCGGCACTGGGGGTCCCGGCCTGACCCCAGGAACTTCCTACTGGCTGGGGGACGGACCTGGCAGCAGCCCGCTCCAGTCCAGTGCCAAGTGGGGCAGGCCTGGGGGGGGTGGCCTGTGAGGTGGAGGCCTGGCAGAGGGGCCTGGTCACCCCTCCCTGCACACCCGTCTGGACGCAGCAAGATGAACCAGCCCCACCCCCAGCCCCAGAGCTCCGGGATCCAGAGACGAGCCTGGAAGCAGCTCTTCCAGACTGCTGCGATGCGGCAGGTGAGTTTGTGCAGGTGACGCAGACTTACACGCGATTCAATTGCTTGAGGCTCTGTCTCCTGACCTGGAAGACGAGAAATCAAGACACAGATCAGGGCAGTCATGGGGACGAGACCACGCAATTCGGGCCCTCTGGACATAGTCAGAGCTCAGGACGATGGCCGAGCGTGTGCCCAGACGCATGCACAGAGGGGTGAGGGGCTCCGCTGTGTCTGCCCTGGATCAGGTGGGTGGGTCATGTGGGCAAGGGCGGCCTGGGGGAGGACACAGGTCGTCTGCACACTCTGAGGCCCAGGAAAGCCTCACGCTCAGAGGCTGGGGTGTGGCGTCGAACACAGAGGGCGGCCAAAGGTTGGTCCCACGGCCTCGGGGCTCCCTGTCCTCCTGCGGGCAGCACAGGCCCCCAGCTCCGGGGCCGGATGACGTCTCCATTCAGGATTCCCAGGTTGCCCAGAAGAACTCGGTAAATGTCCGATTGATTGTATGGTTGACGAGATGTTAGCCTCCCCCTGCGATGCCGTGGGGCGGGGCCTGCAGCTGAGTTTCCTTACAGGAGATGAAAACAAGGCTCATAGAGGAAAGCACACACTTGGAGTTCCCAAAGCTTTAAAGCCAAGGCCGTTGGGGAACCTGGGGTGTGTGGCTCAGTTGCGTCCAACTTTGGCTCAGGTCATGATCTCATGATTCATGAGTTCAAGCCCTGAATCGGGCTCGCTGCCATCAGTGAAGAGTCTGCTTCAGATCCTCTGTCCCCTCCCTCTCTGCATCTCCCATGGGCACTTTCTCTCTCCAAAAAAAAAAAAAAAAAGAAAAAGAAAAACCCAAAACATGAACAAATTAATAAATAGGGACACCTGGGTGGCTCAGTCGGTTAAGCATCCGACTCTTGGTTTCGGCTCAGGCCATGATCTCAGTTCCTGAGTTCAAGCCCCATGTCAGGCTCCACATCACTGGCACGAAGCCTGCTTGGGATTCTGCGCCTCCCTCTCTCTCTGCCCCTCCCCTGCTGGGTCTGCATCTCTCTCTCTCTCATAAATAAATAAATAAACATTAAAAAAAAAAAAAAGTAAATCTAAAGTTGATCTTGAAGTCTGTTTAGTCGCCAGAACCTGGAGGGAACGACGGAAGACCACCCGTGGCCAGCAGACCCCCCGGCTGGCAGGCGAGGGCTCCAGGCCTGCCTGTGGCGCTGGGGAGGCGGAGGCTGCTGTCAGCACCCACCTGCAGGCGCCCACCTCCGACGGTGTCGAGGGCCCAGCCCCGAAACAGGAGAGGCCAGCACGGCCCCCACAGGGGACCACAGCCATCAGGATTGTTCCCTACCTTGGGGGTGCCCAGCTGCTCTCTATTCTCCCTTAAAATGTTTTCTTTTTTTAATTTTTTTTAATTTTTTTTTTAAATTTGTTTCTAGGAGAGAGAGAGAGAGAGAGAGAGAGAGACAGCGTGAGCAGGGGAGGGTCAGAGAGAGAGGGAGTCACAGACTGAAACAGGCTCCAGGCTCTGAGCTGACAGTCAGCACAGAGCCCGATGCGGGGCTCGAACCCACGAACCGCGAGATCATGACCTAAGCGCAAGTCGGACGCTTAACCGACTAAGCCACCCGGGTGCCCCTCTCCCTTAAAATGTTTTTTTAACATGTATTTATTTTTTGAGAGACAGAAATAGACTGTGAGTGGGGGAGGGGCAGAGAGAGAGGGAGACACAGAATCCAAAGCAGGCTCCAGGCTCTAGGGTGGGAGGGGGGCTGGGGGGGGTTGAACCCATGAGCCATGAGATCATGACCTGAGCCGAAGTCAGACGCTTAACTGACTGAGCCACCCAGGCTCCCATTCTCTCTCTATACAGGGGTCCAGTGGCCAGGCCTGGGCCGCGGTCACCCCCGCCCATTGGTCTCAGTTATTGGTCCCAGTGTGGGCCCCTGACATAATCAGAATCACCTTTCTTGAAACCTGACCCTGAACTGGCCACGTCCAGAAGCCCGGCCCCTTCCGCCCCCACACAACAGTATCAGAAGTTACAGTTTATGACCACAGTGGCATCAAGAGGAATAGATTCATATGATACATTGAGAAATGGTCTTCAACCTAGAAGTCGATTTTTCTCCTTCTGATTTTAGAAGAAATAAGAACATTTCTGGGGGCCCCGAAGTACCAGGAGCCCTGGCCCAGCCCCCGCTGTGTCTCCTGGAGACATTTGGGCAGAGCTGGCCCTTCTCGGCGCCGCAGGCACGCTGGCTGCTCCCCCGTTGACCTGGGAGGTGTCTGGCCTCCTCCTGGCCGGTCCCCTTTGCAGGTGACAGGAAGAACTAATAACGGCCTTCTCACCATGGCTGTGACCCCGAGGGAGGCTGAGTATCATTCATCACCGCTGTAGCCCCGGAACCCCTACTTCACAGGTGAGGACACCGAGGCCCGGAGGGTGGGTGTGTGGCCTTGCCCAGGGCCTCGCTGTGGATCCCGAGCCAGGTTTCGAGAATTCTCGTGCAGGTTGCTTTTTGTGAAGAAAGGGAAGGAGTTTCCTCCTCAGTAGGCTGGGGTCACAGCGGGATGGGGCGGGAACGTGAGTCTGGGGGTG